TTTCCGCGAATGGGCACTACGGTTTCGTATGAACGCCCGCGTCACGAATCTGTGGGAGTTCTTTGTGACCCTGCAGTATCCGGTTACCATGGGAGATGGTGACATTGACGACGCTATGGGGCGGCTGGAAATGCTACAGGCGGATTACTCCCAGCGTGCGGCACTCGCCTTTTGGGTCCTATTGCACAGCGTGAGCGCCACGATTCAACTACAGCTAGACATGTTCCAGGAATCCTACAGCCCGGCTTATGAAGCATGGGAGTATTTGATGGACACTTACCAGGCCAAAGATTCGGTGGCGAAGGTCTCTCTCTTGAAGCAGTTGGACAACCTGAAAATGGGGAACACCGAAAGGGTGGAGGAGTACGTCAACCGCGCAACAGCAATCCGGGACAAGTTAGCACTCGCGGGGAAGATGGTGGATGAAGATACCTTCACCTTAAATCTGCTCACCGGACTACCAGTGCATTGGGAGGAGATGAGGCACTCGGCAATGCTGCACAACGTGACGGACAGCTTCACTTTGCAGCGGATGATGATTCGGGAGCAGAGATATCACGATCTCATCACAAAGGATAACCGTGACCGGCGTCCACCTCGCATGGTTGGACAAGCACGTGGAGACTGCTCACCTTCTCCAACTGCAAAGGGCAATAACGGGAAGGAGGGGTCAATTGGGGAGAAAACGCATGGCAAGGATGGAGATGCAAGTCGCTCATCTCTCGTGTGTTGGTACTGCAAGGAGCCTGGCCACCCCTTCTTCAAGTGTACCAAGGCACCCCCTGGGTGGATACCACCAGGGTGGGAACCGCATACCCGCGGAAAGGCAAAACTGCACACCAGCGACAGCCGTTCGTCCTCCCCACGAAGGAGTTGCAGCCCCAAACGTGACAACAATGCATCAAAACAGCAAGGGGCAGCCGGGGAAGACAAACAACGTACTGTTACGTGCATTGCAATGATGGGATCGTCACAAGCTACCTTACCGCCAGCTAAAGCGTCATCTTGGATGCTGGATAGTGGATGCAGCCAGCACATGACTTCGGACAAGAGCTGGTTTGAAGAGTTAAGGGAGCTGGACGAACCTGTTTATGTGGAGCTTGCTAATGGGAGCGAGCTGAGCAGCAAGATGACAGGAACGATCAGAGCAACGGCACCTGATGGGACAACAGTTCGGTACACTGACGTCCTCTACGTACCTGGCTTGAAGAGTAACCTGCTCTCCTATTGTCAGCTGCTGAAAAAGGGAGCGCACATCAATACAATTGCTAATGGAGACACGGAGGTCACCATGAAAGATGGAGAGGAGTACGTGCGGATTGGATTTGCTAAGAACGTGGATGGAGTGCTCGTGGTGCAATATGCGCATGCACTTACATCCGCCCATGATCCTGGACATTCCCGTTATGACGCGTCATCGCATCAGGTTGATCGTGAGGGGGTTACCCTTTTCCGCACACCTGGTGTGCACATTGACGCACATGAGAGCACGGATTTCCGCACACCTGGGATGCAGTCGAGTGGCAAGTCTGCACATGCCTATGTCACATACTGCCTGGCGCACAAAGCCTGCATCGTGCGGAATCCGGCACATGATGTTGATACGGATGAAGTCTCACCCCACTGTGTGGTGTGGACTTCAGGGGGAGGAGGCCACAGGTCCGTAGTGGATTCGGTTCCTGCATTCTCGACCATTGAAGGACATGAAGGCGAAGGAGCAGAATATGCAAAACAAGACTTACCTGGAGCTGATGTAGCTGATGAAGTCAGTGCAGTTGAAGGAAGCGGAGGTACAGCTGATGGCGTATCTGTGACTGGTGTTTCCATTTCGGAAGGCGTGGAAAATGATGATGTGGGAAATGAGGTGGACAAGCCAAGCAAGCAGCATCTCACCTGCAATTTGCTGGTTGGTCAAGGCAATCATCAAGTCAAGGATTCTGGTGTTGTACTCACCTGTGCGGCCACCTCGAACGGTGCGGCACAACATGGCATCACCTAACTCCACACTCACTCATGTGCTTGTAGCTGTGTACGCGGATCACTACAAGCACATGGGTGGCGGGAGGTGGGGTGTGGAGTATGTCTGGTGGCATAAGTGTGGGACATGGAGTCAAGAAGCATAAGGGGAAGACCTACTCACCAAGGGTTGCCAAATAGGCAGGGGGAGCAGGAAGAATGAATGCAACCGGTCGTCATACGTCGTGCTTCAGTGGTATTGTGGTATTGGTTGCAGCAGATGAACGGTACCACCTGAGGGAAGAGTGGATAATATACATGGGAGCACTGCGTACCTGGTGTGCACAATTCTGCATACTTGGAGTGCGCTACATTCTTGGAGTGCACAACACTGCATACTTGGAGTGGACATTTCTGCATTCGTGGAGTGCAGAGTTTGGGATACTTGGAGTGCGTCGGCATGCACAACTCTTTAGCTGATGGAGTTCGGCAACTCCGACTGCTACCGTGTGCCGGCTGGAGTGTATGGGGAGCATCACATGACAACATAGGTGAAGTTTGAGCAAACTTGGCATGATTGCCAAAGCATGGGGAGAAACTGTCGCGCGAAGTGTGCGCCCACCAATGCAGTTCCGCGCCAGCCGCACACCCTGTGTTATCTGCTACCAATTCGCGTCATCCGCAACTGCAGTGGTCGCAGACGCGCATCCACTGCAGTTTTGCGTCGTCGCACAGGAGGCGTGCGAAAAAGACAGCAGCACTGACAATCGCGTGTAGTCAAGTCTACGGTTTCGGAAATTCGGTGTGCGCTAAGGGCAATCCGCCATGACGATCTACGCATTTCGCCATGGTTACGAGGAGATTTCGTCATGGAGCTGCTACTATTTCCTCAGTAGCAGCCACTACGCGCTGTATCTAGATCTGGAAAGTCGCCAGTGGAAGGAGGGATTGGAAAACATCAAGGGAGGAGGTTTGGTTGGAGTTTGAAAGCACCAAAGGCTTGGGGGGAGAAAGGTGCTACAGTAACGAGCAGCTTGGCCACCACCAAACCCTAGCTTGGTTTGGGCGCACCCCTACCTAGTGGTGGTATACCACCTCGACCACCCCATCCTCCAAGGAAATCGGATTCACTAAAACCTACAGCAAGGGGGAGTGTTGGAAATCCGAATACAGTATAACGAATACTGTATACCAGTGTGCTGTTTGGTTTTAGTGTAGTCCTCTTTATAAGCTTCCAGGTCCTACAATTATTGTAGGGGCCAGAATTATTGGAGGTCAGCATTATTGGAGGGTAGAGGGTACAATTATTGGTACACCATTATTGGTGTGAATGGGTCATTCTGGAGGGGTAGCTGGATGCATATATACCCTGCTGTGTCACATCATTGAGTACTCATTGTGTCATCCTTTTACTTTTCAATGATCAATACAAGATTTCTATCTTGTTCTTTTCTACAAACACGTTTCCGCTACGCTGGCACTATGCCTTTCTAGCAACTTCCACCCTTGCTCCCTCTCATTTTCCCCTTGCTCACCATCATTTCCCCCCCTGCACCCTTTCATTTTCCCCCCTTCTCCCCCACATGTCCCCCACTTTCTACCTCTCAGTTCACGTGTCCGGATGCTGTGCACGTTCACGACATGCAGGTGAGGGCGGGATCGTGTGTGGCGCGGGCGGATCAGCGTATGCTAGGTGTGCGTGTGCCTGCTGATTGATGTGCATCCAAGATCAATGTGCATCACTAATGGCACTCTGTGTGTTCCTGGGGTGGCATGGTGAGGCATGCATGGTAGGAAATCTCTTAGGGTTGCATGCCGGTCAGGTAATGTGTATCTTGTGCGCACTGGATTGCTCGTTCTCCCCCTCATTACTTTCTTTCCTTTCCCCACTTGCAATTCTCCAGGCTTAGATTGAGCTCTGTCGTATGTGCCCACTTTTCCCCCTTCCTCGCCCCCTCCCTCCGTCTCATTTTCCCCCCACTCCTCTCACTAACAGGTCTACCAAGCGGCCCACACTGTCTCGCCAGGGCTGACGTTTCAAATTTAGGTACCCTGATGTCCACCAAAAAAAAAAAATTTAACCCTGAAGGCATATTTTCCAGAAAAGCAGCACCCTGATTGCTCAGTGTTGGGAAGTTATACAGTCTGAGTGTTCAGGGTCGAGAAGTCACGATCAGGGTACGTGTAGTAACGCGCTGTGCATTATCGAAACTGAACTTTGATGGCGAATCTGTTCTGTGAAAGGGCGAATGTGCAATGTCAGATACATTTTACTGTGATTGGTCAAGACCTTAGTGCTCTGACAGCTCAAATCTGCTGTGTCAGGGCCATTTCGCTGTGATTGGGCAAATTCGTTGCTCCGTACGGTGCGAATTCGCTTTGTCAACGCGAATTTTTAATGACGCTGGTGCTGTGACCAGTCAAGACGGGTTTGACTCACCAGTTTGACCCTCACTAGTGAGCCTCGGAGGTGGGTGTATCGAGAGGAAATTTCGAGGAAGCTTCCTCCCGATAAACTTGCATGCAGGGACCACAGAACGCATACTCTGTAGTGACAGACTCCAGAAATGACTAACACTGAGGCCTATTACACTGAATCAGGGGCCATAAAACAATAACTCTGATGCTCTCAGTGATGAAAATTTGACTACTCTGGAATTCCATTTTTCACAAACTCGATGGTCTGATCCGTCAGACTAATCAGACTATTTACTCTGATAGCGTCAGCCCTGTGTCTCGCTCCCATTTGCTGTACACCAATGCCAGGCATGCAACAGCAGCAGGCAGCATGTGCGGCATCTCCTTGCTTAGTTGATGGCTTCTAATTGTGATTCAACAAGCATGCATGCACTTCCAACTGTGTGTTGTCGAGCTCGCTTTGCCGTACGATATTAGGAACTTTTATGGCCATTTAGTTATCTGGACTTCATCAAGTTTGATGTAACGATTCCTCACAACCATGTCACTAAATACATAAAAGAGAAATATTATGAGACCGATTTTCTTCAGTACCATGCACGTGGCTAATCGTATGCACATGCATCTCACGCCCTCATTGCAAAATCTATCTCGATGGGCAATTCCTCTTCTCTTTCGCACCCCTCAATGTCACATTCATCCTCATCATTTTCAACCCTATCCTCGTCACCTGCAAAGGATGGGAGGGGCTGGAAGGGGATGGGAGGGGGGTAAGGGGATGGGATGGGAGGGGCTGGAAGGGGAATGAAAGGGTTTGAAATGGGATGGGAGGGACTGGAAGGGGAATGGAAGGGTTTGAAATGGGATGGGAGGGACTGGAAGGGGATGGGATGGGAGGGGCTTGAAGGGGATGGGAGTGGATGAAAAGTTATGGCAGGGGAAAGAAGGGTTTTGAAGGCAGGTAGGGGAGGCGGGAGAGATGGTTGCGAGGGCATGGAGGGGTGATGTGAAGGCAAGGAAGAGAGATGCATAGGTAGGGAAAGGAGATGCATAGGCAGGGATAGGAGGTGCATAGGCAGGGATAGGAGGTGCATAGGCAGGGAGAGGGAAGGGGAGAGATAGGGTGGCGGGTCGGCTAGAAGAGCCCGCCCGGGGAGGTGGGAGGAGCACGCGCAGATAACGAAGTGCAGGAAGCGAGGAGCTAATAGGCAAGATCCCTCCCAGTGCTGGCCTTTGCTCGCACAAACTTCGAGCACTCGGCCTCAGCAGCACTTGCAGCAACGGAGTGGCGATAGCTTCAAGGACACGCCACTGGATGGCGGGGTTCAGGACATGGTACAAAAAGCACGGAAGGTGATAAGAGGGTAGGAGAGAGGAGAGTGCAGATAATGTGAGGGAGATGGGCTGGTAGGAAGAGAGGATCGGTAGGCGGGAAAGGGAAACGGGGAGGCGGGAAGGGGTAATGGGGAGGCGAGAAGGGGTAATGGGGAGCGGGAAGAGGAAATGGGGTGGCGGGAAGGGGAATTGGGGAGGCGGGAAGGGGAAACGGGGAGGCGCGAAGGGGTAATGGGGAGGCGGGAAGGGGTAATGGGGAGCGGGAAGAGGAAATGGGGTGGCGGGAAGGGGAATTGGGGAGGCGGGAAGGGGAAACGGGGAGGCGCGAAGGGGTAATGGGGAGCGGGAAGGGAAAACGGGGAGGCGGGAAGGGATAACGGGGAGGCGGGAAGGGGAAACGGGGAGGCGGGAAGGGGTAATGGGGAGCGGGAAGGGGAAACGGGGAGGCGGGAAGGGGTAATGGGGAGCGGGAAGAGGAAATGGGGTGGCGGGAAGGGGAATTGGGGAGGCGGGAAGGGGTAATGGGGAGCGGGAAGGGGAAATGGGGAGGCGCGAAGGGGTAATGGGGAGCGGGAAGAGGAAATGGGGCGGCGGGAAGGGGAATCGGGGAGGCGGGAAGGGGAAACGGGGAGGCGCGAAGGGGAAACCGGGAGCAGTCGTTTCTGATTACCCTCGCGACCTCAATTGCGGCTGCCGCCGCTACTGCGGAAACGCGGTAGCGAGGCCGCGCGATCGGGCGGCGACTGTGAGGACTGTGTTCGGCAGTTTGAGACGCAGCGTGCGCGTTCATGGTGGCGTGAGGAGGCCGCGTGGTGAGGCGACGCGACGGACGACGAGGCGAGGCTGTGAGAGGAGGTCCGGCGGGCTCGCCGTGTCAGAGGGCGGAACTGACGTTGGCTCGGACGTGTAATTACACTAAAATGCCCCACGCGTCTAAGTTTGTGTCTGAAACGGGAGTGGTTTGCGCTGGCTGTTGAGTCGCGATGTGCTTAGCTACGGTTTATGCTGCTTGTTGAGCGTAGTGGCGTAGATCTCAGATGGACTGGATTACGTGTACTTAGGGCGGGTCCAGCGCGTACGTTTTCCGTACATTACAGTTCATCCAGTCCGGTAATCTGTACTGCGTCACGGTTCAAAACGGTGCAATTTTAAAACCGCCGTGCACCGCCTGATATATTTTCAAACCACGACGAATGAACTGTATAGTACCTGAAAACGTACGCGTTGGACACGCCCTTATGTTATTCCAGAAGTTTTGAATCACCTGTGAGGCCTGGGTGTCGGGGAGATCACCTGTAAGGATTTACAAGTCCTTACTGAGGCACTCGTTATCGAGGTCATCCCGAGGGTCACGCCACGAACCTGTCCTTCCTATTTCGTCGCACCGAACCACTCCCGAGTCGCCTCCGCACCAATCGCAACCATCACCGAGCCATCCTTTCCAGAACCCCCCGCCTAGCTAGGACCTACCCCATTTAGGCCTCATCACTTTGTGTGTTCAGTCATTCAGTAATTCAGTACTCAATCATTCTCGTTATTCGATATTCTGCGCACTCTGCAAGTTAATTCATAACATCACCTCCCTTTTTGCTGGGTTACCAATCTTTCAATTTTCAAAACTTTTGAACCTCCCTTTTTCAAATGTATACAAAAGCTTTAACCCAGGTTATCCCTAATGTCTCAATTTTGGCGGGAACCAATCAACAGTTCGGTCCAAAATTTGTTTCGCCTGGCAAACTCATCCCTGCACTCTTTCAAGTTGGGTTTGGGTTCACTATTTTGCATTTCCGTTTTAGTACCGGTACTTAAGGGGAGTCAACGCTTATGATAACATACCTCTAGATGTCAAGCAGCAAGTACACTGCACTTGCCGCAGCTCCGGGCGCAGCTGCTGTGCATATATCCAGGGTTCTTCTCACATTCCCCCGCCTTGGCCCACAAAGGACAATGCTCACTCTCATCCACACACGCGCCAGGCGGGTGCGAGTGAGAAGATACCTTCCCGCCTTCTTCCCCCCCATCCTCTTCTTCCTCGAAGGAGCGAACGTGGATCCACTTGGTGGCGGACCATTTCTCCCCGGCCAGCACGGGGCAGCCCGCGTGGAGAGAGGCAAGGTCGGGCTCAGCGGAAGGTTTCAGGGAAAAGAAAAGCAGTGCATCGCCCTTCACTGGCTTGGCTGGTGGGAGAAGGGGAGAGGGGAGATGAGTGAGAGGGGGTCGGGGGAAGGAGAGGGCTTTAGGGAGAAGAGCAGCAGCGCATCGCCCTTCACTGGCTTGTCTGGTGGGGGGGAAGAGGGAGTGGGAGGGAGGGCGATGGGGGAATTGGGAAAGGGACGGGCCATGGGAATAAGAGGGAATGGGCTTGTACACAGTCGACAGAGGGTTTTAGCTTTTAGTAACAAAGAGAAGAAAGGGGAGAGTGTCTTAAGGGCAATCACCCTCCAGTAAATAACATCCGCAGCTCGAGTGTTCCCTTTAAAGTCGTCCCCCATTCATCCCACACACCGCCTCACCTGCAACACCCTGCTTGCCACAGTCAGACCACGTGTCGTCCTTCTCTTGCTTGTCCTTCTGCATGGGTGGGGTGTGACACATAGTGACATGGCACGATGCAGGATGATGTGGCATGAAGTGGCATGATGTGGCTTGATGTGGCATAACTTGTATTTGGCCTGGCATGGCATTAACACGCAAGGCATGACTCACACATGTACATGAGTCTCCATTGAAGAGAACAACGGTTCAGCAAGGGAAGTGGCATAGCGGCGGTGGCCCCCCTGCTGCCTCTTCTCCGACTCCCTTCTCACTTTTCCGCACAAACACAGGCATCCTAACACACACACACACACACACACACACACACACACACACAAGCACCCACCTCAGAGTCTGGAAACACGGTCTCCCCCCCATGGAACCCATCAGTGAGGTACATGAGCACAGTGGCGTAGCGGTGGCCGCCCTGCTGCTGCTTCTCATCCTCCTCAAAGAAGTCGTGGTGAGCATCGTATTTCTGCCCCACAGCGTACCGCAGCACCTGCATCGACTCCTGGTTCTCTGCCATGCACAGGCGGGTACATGGGGGCAGGGATGTGGGGGAACAGCGGCCGTCAATGCCCGCCCCTTTTCCCCAAAATAGATGTGCTGGGCGTCATACCTCTGCCCCACGGCATACCGCAGCACCTGCATCGACTCCTGGTTCTCTGGAAGGGGACGGAGAGGAGGCACCTACTTTCAATGTGTCAATTCCTAAGAGTTGCTGCCACGTATTGAAACCGTGGCACCTACTTGGTGCTCTATTGGGGTATACCGTGGAGAGGAGGTGAGAGGATACAGGGAAGAGTGAGTAGCATTGATGCCTGTTTCTGTTTTATTTTGCCCCACTGCATACTGCATCACCTGCATCGACTCCAGTTTTGAGGCGCCTCAAAACTTCACTGCATACCGCAATACCTGCATCAATACCTGGTTCTCTGGTACAGTGCAGGTGCACAGGCTTAACGGAATTGGGCATGCCAGGGAGGAATCAAGAGGATGGGGGCCGAGGGTGGGGGCCGAGGGTGGGGGCCGAGGGTGAGGCTTAAAGGAATTGGGCGCTAGCCTAGAGCATTGTGGAGAGAGCCAGTTTGAAACAAATCTTTATTAAAGAATCAGGGACACTGCAAACTAGTTTCGGCTTTTTCAAGCCTTCATCAGTACAGGCCTGGAAAAGGAATCAGGCTTAAAGGAATTGGGCATGCCAGGGAGGAAGCAGGAGGATGGGGGCCGAGGGTGGGGGGGGTGGGGGTGCGGGTGCACGAGGAGATTGGGGAGGGTGCACGAGGAGATGGGGGAGGGTGCACGAGTGGGGAGGGAGGCTTACCAGGGGCAAGGAAGGTCCAGGTAGCAATGCGGTCTTCAATGCGCTTGATGACGTCATCCTTTGGGATGGGCATGCGATGGGACGTGCAGAGGAGAGGGGCAAGGAGCATACCACCACGAGTTGAGAAGGAATTCTCAGAACGCAAGGGACAAAATGAGAAGGAATTCTCAGAACGCAAGGGACAAAATGAGAAGGAATTCTCAGAACGCAAGGGACAAAATGAGAAGGAATTCTCAGAACGCAAGGGACAAAATGAGAAGGAATTCTCAGAACGCAAGGGACAAAATGAGAAGGAATTCTCAGAACGCAAGGGACAAAATGAGAAGGAATTCTCAGAACGCAAGGGACAAAATGAGAAGGAATTCTCAGAACGCAAGGGACAAAATGAGAAGGAATTCACAGAATGCAAGGGACAAAATGAGAAGGAATTCTCAGAACGCAAGGGACAAAATGAGAAGGAATTCTCAGAATGCAAGGGACAAAATGAGAAGGAATTCTCAGAACGCAAGGGACAAAATGAGAAGGAATTCTCAGAATGCAAGGGACAAAATGAGAAGGAATTCTCAGAACGCAAGGGACAAAATGAGAAGGAATTCTCAGAATGCAAGGGACAAAATGAGAAGGAATTCTCAGAACGCAAGGGACAAAATGAGAAGGAATTCTCAGAACGCAAGGGACAAAATGAGAAGGAATTTTCAGAACGCAAGGGACAAAATGAGAAGGAATTCTCAGAACGTTAGCTGGGGAGAAGTGAAATGATTGACCCTAGTTGCAGCGCAAAAGGAACAATTGACTGAACTGAACATTCCACCCTGTTTCCAGTACATAAGAAAACAGTCAATTTTTTTACATGCATGCATCCATCCGTGCTTCAGGGTAAACACCTGCTGCAAGATAAGCTCTCTATGAGCATCAGGGTTACCATTCACTGCGCAACGAACCTGAGCAATATCGAGGAGGGTGCCGGAGCTGGACCTGTAGTCATCGACAACACTGGAGCCATTATCAGCCACTACTGTTGATTGCTCCATTCATCTTTCGCCTCACCTAGCGAAATGTTGACTTTTCCCGGACTTTTTTTTACAGAGCCACAAACCTGAGCAATATCGAGGAAGCAACCGGAGCTGGACCTGTAGTCGTCCACCACACTGGAGCCATTGTCAGCCAGCACTGTTGACCTCTCCATTTTGGGGCGCGCCTAGCAGGTGAGAGGGATGGGGAGAGAGAGAGGGAGGAGAAAGAGAGAGAAAGAGAGGGGAGAGAGAAGGGAGAGCGAGAGGGAAGGAGGAGACGGGGAGAGGAAAGGGATGCGGGAGAAAAGGAGGGGGAGGAGGAGGCTAGGGGGAGAAGGAAAGCGGGAAAGGGGGAGAGAAGGGAGGGAGAAAGAAAATATAGGGAGGAGAGGAAGTTTAAGAAGGGAACTGACCTGGGCAGTTTCCAGAAAAGTTCCGTAGCTGGTGCGAATGGGGTCTATCTCTTCGGTGCCATTGTCTGCCACCACCTCCGAGCGCGTCATGTTGGGCCGCGCCTGGGGTAGAGTTGGGGGGGGGGGGGGGGGGGAAGGGAGTGGGGAGAGAAGGGGGGATGGGGGAGTGCGGCAATGGGGCATAGTAGGGGAATGGGGTCTATCTCTTCGGCGCCATTATCTGCCACCACTTCTGAACGCGTCAGGTTGGGCCACGCCTGGGGTAGAGTTGGGGGAAAGCGGGGGTGGGAGGCCCAACACAAGGGAGGGACGGGGAAGTGCAGCGATGGGGCAGCGCAGGGGAACGGTGTCTGTCTTCTCGGTCCCATTCTCCGCCACCACTTCGAGCGAGCCATGTTGGGTCGTGCCGGGGGTAATGTCCTGGGGAAGGAGGGGGTGTGGTGTGGAGGGGGGACGCAGTGGAGGGATGGGGGAGTGCGACAATGGAGCAGTGCAGGGAAGTGGAGTCTATCTCGGGAGTGCCATTGTCCGCCACCACTTCCGACCGACTCATGCTGGGACGCGCCTGGGGTAGAGTTGGGAAGGAGGGACGCAGTGCGGGGATGGGGGAGTGCGGCAATGGGGGCGGGCGGCAATGGGCGTTGCAGGAAAATTGCCATTGCCGCCTGCCCATTGTCGTACTTATCTCAGCGGTCCCATTGTCTGCCACCACTTCAGACCAGGCCATGTTGGGACGCGCCTGGGATTTTTTTTTTTTTTGGAAGGGGGAGGGTGGAGAGACGCAGTGGAGGGATGGGGAAGTGCAGCAATGGGGCAGTGCAGGGGAATGGCGTGCATCCCGGAAGTGCCACTGTCTGCAACTACTTCCCACCGAGTCATGTTTGGGCGCACCTGGGGTAATTTGGGGGGGGGGGGGGGAGAGGCGGCAATGCAGAGAGAGAGATGGGGGGGTGTATCAGGGGAATGGTGTGTATCGCTGTGGTACCATTGTCCGCCAGGTTGGGACGCACCTGGGGCGATGTCGGGGAAAGGAGGGGAGAAAGGAGGGCGCTTGTACATATATGCATGTGTGCATGCATGCATACCATCTCAATCAATTAGTCGCACGTCTCATGTGTGCATGCGTGCATACCATCTCAATCATATGGTCGCACGCCTCATGTGTGCATGCATGCGTACCAGTGCAATGATGTGGTCGCACTCCTCGTGGTTCTAGGAGGGGGAGAGAGGGCGGCCTTTGAGTTGACTCAAAGCGTCACACCCCTCAGGTGTGCATGCATCAAGGTGTGAGCGTGCATGCATCAAGGTGTGCGCGTGCATGCGTACCAGTGCAATGATGTGGTCGCACTCCTCATGGGTCAGGAACTGCTTGTAGATCCACGCTCTAAGGGATGGAGAGAGGGGGGACGAGCGAGAAACGGAGAGGGTAAGAGAGGAGGAGAATGGAGGGCGAGGGTTACATGGAGGTGCATTTTCCAGACCAAGGAATTCGGGGATGGAGATGGTGGCGTGGTGTGCCGAGGGAGTGGGTGTGACGAGTGAAGAAAGGGAGACCAGGTGGGGAGGGTTGCATCGGGACATTTAGTATTGGCGGTGCCACGTCATCGTCATCACGTGTCATTGTCCACAGCAGCATATACTCCACCTCACCTTGGTTTCCACGATAGCCGGACGACGCGAGGCTCGCTCAACCCAGGTTCAGGTTCAGCTGCTGCTGGCTTGGGTTCAGGAGTGGAGCGATAGCTGAGGGGAGGGAAGGGGTGAAAGAAACGGAGGAGCAGTGGGGTGGGGAGGAGGAGGAGAAGGAGGGGGGGGGTGATCAACGTAGGAATGACGTTGCAGCACTTCTAGAACACGAAGACGAAACACTAAGGCGGTAACAACAAGAACATGCGGACAAGAAAAAGGCAACATGTTGGCTGCTTACGTGTCACCGAGCCAGCCTGGAAGAGCGTCAGCTTCAAACCCCGAAGCGGGTTCCGCCAGCAGCATCAGAAGCGCGAGCGCGAGCGGCGCTAGCAGGAGCAGAGGCGACCTGGATGGTCCACGGATGGACATTACACTCACTTGACGCCATGAATCCATTTTTTTGTTTTTGAAAAGAGGAAGATGCATAAGGGTGTGAGCCACGAATTGTGGTATTTTTTTATGGCGGTGGTCGACAGCCTCCAGAGATGGAGTGAGAGATAGGGCAAGTGAACTGCGCCGGGCACGAGGGATACAAGCCAAGAGAAACGAGGGATTCGGTCCCCGCAAGACTGAAACCCGGCAAAAAAAGGATTATGCTATAGCTGCTCTGGGATGAAGAGCAGGAGAGAGAGCTGTGGGATGTAGGGCGATGTTGCGGAACCTGGTTGTTCTGATGATGACCATAACAAATGAAAATGACTAAATGAGCAGCTTTGGGATTATCATGGAAATCGCAGGGAAGGGCTGAGATGGAATCCCAAGGTGGTTACCTGCCGAAAGCAATTCCAGATTACTAGATTCTCCTCGTAGTCTGCGACGAACCAACACGCTGGCGAAATCAGCTCACAAGACCCATTGGTGGAAAACATTCGCCCAATAATTTCGCGAAATGCGCTGTCCAACCACATTCACCCTCCCAACCAAATGCTTTGTTCGCTACACTTGGGTTTGACCCCCACTCGTCACACCACTCACAGCACACCTCTTCCGAAATTCCTTGGGATTTGCAGGTCCTGTAACAGACTGGTCCTTCAAAGTCTGGTCCTTCCACAATTTTCCCTCTCTTGTGAGCTTAAATTTCTTCCTGTCCTGACCAGAACCTTGTATCATTATGTCAGTCATCAAAACCAGTCTCGCTCTATCGAAACAAGGAAGCGTGTAAAGCACAGCCGGCTGGTAGAAGAGCGGCAAGGCTGCCTGCTCATAGTCTGCACTGACATAGAGAAGAGACTCGTTGGTTCAGGACCAGCGCCGGCGACGGTTTGCCATGGCCTCTGTCGCTCGCTCACGACAAGCCCTTGTGATTATGATGATCGTTCTTCTTGCGAATGCCGTTTCCGGACACTCTATCGAAGCAACTGACGACAATCAATCCGGCATGTCGTACGTTCCAGACCGCAGATTCGCAAGCTTATCACAATTTATTGCAATTTTAGCGCTATCCGACGTATACTCCGTCCTTTCTGACCTTTCCACGTGTCTCAATTCTGCGTTCACTCTGGTCATTCGTGTGTAGCAGCGTTGTTGATGTGGACATTCCGCCGTTAGAAGAACCCCCTGTTCATATTCCTGACGTCAGCAAGGTTCAACGGCTTTCCTGGAAGCCTAGGTAGTGCCTCGCGAAACTCGCAACGCTACTTTCGCTCAGTCTGTAGCGAAATTTGTCATTCGCAATCATTGTGACTACGTGATGTGTACGAGCCTTGGTCAAGATTATGCTGACGTGTCATGCTGAAACGGTGTAACCTCATTCTTATTCTTCCAGGGCGTTCCTGTTCCCCCAGTTCTTATCCGAGGCGGAATGTGACTACATTGTCAACTATGTGAGTATCAGCCAACAATCTCACATTCCCATCATTCCAATCCTAACCAGCTTCCCATCCTTTCTGTTCATCCCCTTCACACGCAAAATTTCTGTCATGATGTCCCCTTCCCCCCTCCTACCCCCTCCCCCCTCCTCGCACCACCCTCCGCATCTCCCCATCATCCATCACCCCCCCATACAGTCACGTCCGCGGATGGAGCGGTCTACAGTGCTAAGCAATAGCGGGAAAAGCGTGCAGGATAGCATTCGCACCAGCGATGGCTCCTTCATTGTTAAGTACGAGGTGCGGAAACAGCAGCGCAACTTGCTCAATAATTGCCCAATATAAGTTCTATATCAGATCGAGTATATCAAATGGAGTACAAGGCTGCAGAAGCATGGTTAGAACATGATAAGGAGCAACAGCAGGCTTCGTTACCTTTGATCCAAGCCTCCATTAAGTTTACTTCATTCCGAGTGGTTTTCTGAAGGAGTAGCTCGTGTGCAGTGCTCGCATTCTGTGCAATGCCAGTGTCCTGCTGCCTCCACGACTCTTGCTTCAATCATTCCTTCACCCGTCTCCAACTTATCTCCTACCCATCTCCAACCTACCTCCACCTCCCTGCCATATCCCCGCTGTGCCAGAATCCAGTCATTCGGCGCATTGAAGAGCGCGTGGCTGCTTGGACCTTCCTCCCCATTGGTAAGCCCTTCCTCCCCATCGGTAACCCCTTCGTCCCATCAATAACCCCTTCCCCCCTGCTCACACATTATTAATTCCTCCCTCCCTCCCGGCCTCCCTCCCTCACTCTTTCCCTACCTCCTTGCCTGTGGATGCACAGAGAACCAGGAGGCGATGCAAGTGCTGAGGTACAGGGACGGGCAGGAGTACGGGGCACACTGGGACTACATCGACCCTGTCAAGGCACCCACCCCAGGGGGCCCTCGCTACGCCACAGTGCTCATGTACCTCTCTAATGTGGAGAAGGGCGGTGAAACCGCCTTCCCTGAGTCCGAGGTAGGCAGACAGGGTAGGGGGTGGAGGAGGGAAGAGAATAGGCATGAGACGAATTACCCACCCAAGGGGGCCTGCAATACGCCACGGTGCTGTGGAGAAAGGTGGAGAGACCGCCTTCCCTGAGTCCGAGGTATGTGGGGTATACAGGCGGGGGCTGGGTGGGTATTATGGGTGGGCAGGCATGAGGGGAAGCACCCATCTCTCTCGAATGGTCCTTGTATCAAATCCGAGCTAGTACAGACTTGCATCTAAGTAACTAGCAAACAAGCAAACACGCCCAATTCTTGGCCCCCCAAGTCCCACTGCTTCTGGGTGCTTGTACATGAGGACAGGGGTTGGTTGTGTTTCCTCTTGAGTCGACTCAAAAGTCACCTTGTACATGAGGAGAGGGGTTGTTCGTGTTTGCTCGCTTCTATTGAGTGACATACGAGTGAAGCTAACAGCTGCTTTTCTCTTTCTCTCTTCCCTTCATGGTGTGTGTTTCCCGCTGCTGCTGGGTGCTTGTACAGGAGGACACTGTAGTGAAGGATGACTCGTGGAGTGACTGTGGGAAGAAGGGCATTGCTGGTATGTACTATGCACCCCTCGACACACCTCTACACACCTCCACACACCGCTACACACCTCGACACACCTCTACACAGCTCCATTGATGCGTGCCTCATCTGTTTCCATTCCCCCCACCCACACCCCCTTTTTCCTCCAACCCCAACTCCCCCAACCCTGCTCAACGTCCCCGCTCCAAACCCCTACTATGCGAGCCAATTCTTCCCCCTCTTCCCTCTCCACCGCTCCCTCTCCCCCCTCCTCCCACTCCCCCCTTCCCACTCCCCCATCCCTGTCCCAGCCAAGCCCAGAAAGGGAGATGCGCTGCTCTTCTTCTCCCTCCACCCAGACACATCCTTTGACCGATCTTCCCTCCACGCGGGCTGCCCCGTGCTGGCCGGGGAGAAGTGGTCCGCCACCAAGTGGATCCACGTGGGGAGCTTCGACCTGCCGCCCCGTGATGCATCTGTGTGTGCGGACGACAACGAGAATTGCGAGCACTGGGCGAGCATTGGGGAGTGCGAGCGCAACAAGGCGTACATGGTGGGAGCCGAGGGAGCAGGGCCGGAAAGTATAGGATTCTGCAGGAAGAGCTGCGGGGTGTGTGTGTAGGGGTGATCATGGATCCTAATGTCCAAGCAGCAGCAGCAGCAGCAGCAGCTGCAGGCAGCACTAGGCGAGCATTGGGGAGTGCGAGCGGAATAGGGCGTACATGGTGGGTGCGGAGGGAGCAGGGCCGTAGAGCCTTGGTCATTGCAGGAAGAGCTGTGGGGTGTGCAAATAGGGGTTGTGTGACCTCCCCTTTGACCTCCTGCCCCTGTCACATCTGTGTGTGCGGATGACAATGAGAATTGCCAGCCACTGGGCGAGCATTGGGGAGTGCGAGCGCAACAAGGCATACATGGTGGGAGCGGAGGGAGCAGGGCCGCAGAGCCTGGGGTACTGCTGGAAGAGCTGCGGAGTGTGTGCGTAGGGAGTGTGTGTGTGTGCGTGTAGTAGCAGCAGCATCAACTACCAGCAATGGGCGAGCGTTGGCGAGTGGGAGCGCAACAAGGCGTACATGGTGGGAGCGGAGGGAGCAGGGCCGGAGAGCTGTGGGGTGTGCATGTAGGGGCTCGATCCCAGTGTGTGTGCAGCAGCAACAGCAGCTCCATGCACTGGGCACGCATGGGGTGTGTGCGTCGTAGCAGCACCGGCAGCAGCAGCGGCAGCTGAAGTTCAGGCAGGGGCAAGAGAGAAGTAGGACGAGCTCAGATCTCAAGGATCCAGCATAGGTAGTACCGAGTTGATTGTATGGGACGGCTTGAGGCCAATCAAGTGGCAAACCGTTTCTTCCTTGTGTTTTTCTCTCTTCGCTGCACACTGTGAAGTGGCCTGCAGTCACATCCACTACTATCACACTGGCATCTGTTTCAACCATCATATCTATTCGCTATAATCAACACAACATAGTACGGTATATATGTGATATCCACATCATCCATTTATAATCACTCATCCTTCTATAGTCACAAGCACATCTGCCTGTTACAAGCACACTGATAATCACGAGGACATGTGTCTAAGTACCCAGTCAGGCCACTGGTCTCTCCCCCCCTCCCTCTCGCCCTCACCCCCTTCCCTTGCTTGCTGCTGCATCATCATTCCATATCCGCCCCCCTCCTGATAAGCCTCATTCACGTGCTGAGCTGGCGCTGTGTCAGCAAGCTGAGCTGGCATCATGTCAGGATGCTGACCTGGCATGGTGTCAGCAAGCTGACCTGCCATCCCCCATAGCATCGATCCCTCTACCAGGTTAGTCATCTGCTCTTCTGTCTCCCCAAGGCCCCCTGCTGCTCCTGCACCTCGGAAGTTTCTAGAATCCCTCCCAAGGTGTGACGTGGCATATTGGTGGTAACCTGTCATCATGCCATGGTGTGATGTGGCAGCATCACAACCTGACGTGGCAGTTTCAGGTCCAGTGGAATGTACACGTGGCAGCCGCACATGCCCCGGAGCAGACAGAGCAGGCCGGATATACGCAGACCACTCATACGGACCATTATGAGCGATGGTGTGCGGTGCAGTGAGGTTCTGCCCGGCTGGGAGAGGAGTCAGGTCAGTAGCAGGTAAGATGCTGAGGGAAGCAGGAGGGGCAGGATCAGTCGAAGTGGTGGCGGTGGCAGGTCTATTACTGTTCAACATACCACTTTGTGCCATCCTGCCACTCTCCTGTGGCTGCATCCCCCTCACTCCACCGTGACTGGCTGGTGGCAGTGGTAATGGTGGTTCCACGTCAGCTGCTGCCAGCTCAGCACGCATTGCCAGGTCAGCGTCTTCCGCCGCCCAGTCAGCAACCAGCAGGCTAATGACGTCATCCTCTGACACACCGAGCAAAGCAGACGGCGGAAGGGGGGACGTGTGATGACCCCCCACCATTCCCCCCACCACTCCCACCATCACCCCTTCGTCTGGGTCCCTGACTTGTCCCCTCCCGCCATCCCTGGCTGGCCCATGCTTCCCCACCTCGAATTCTCCCTGCTCCTGTGGCTGCCCCACACTCACACCCCCATGTGCTGTGCCCTTCTCTCCACCCCCCTTCACCTGCTCTTCCCGTCTCGCACCCCTCTCTCCGCCCTCCTCCTCAATATACAACTCGTCAGCTTCTTGCGTGTCTCTTGCAGCAGCAGCTGTGGATACGGGTGCTGACGTGGCAGCGGCGGATTGAGATGCTGACGTGGTGGCAGCGGATTGAGATGCTGACGTGGCAGCAGCGGCGGAGGGTGAGGAGATGGGAGGGGGCCCGCAGGAGCCGACGGCTGGCGAGCCAATGGCGGGCGAGCTAGGTTTAGGAGAGCCAATAGGAGGAAAGTGACTGAACAAAGCATGACTATACGGAGTGTGATTATGCAGAGTTTGATTCTGCAGAGTGTGATTGGATGAGGGATGAGAGGAGGTGAGGGGGAGGGAGGGGAGGAGAGGAGGTGGGGCGCGGAAGGAGGAGGAGGGGCGGGAGAGAGGGTAGAAAGGGCCGCGGGTCTGCTGCCATTGCTGGGTTGTGAAGGGAGTGAAGGAGGGGATTAGGGAGGCAGTGAGGGGGGGAGTGAGGGAGGGAGTGAGGGAGGGAGTGAGGGAGGGAGTGAGGGAGGGAGTAGTGGTGTGTGTGCCCTGATGGATGGAGTGGCTGTGGGAGAAGCGAGTGTGTGTGGAGGGCGAGGATGTGTGAGAGAGTGAGTGAGAAAAGGACCTCCGTAAAGACGGGAGCTTTTGCTGCTGCTGCTGCTGCTGCTGCCACTGCTGCATAGCCTGTGCGTCAACTGCCGCTGCAGCTGAAGTTGCTGCTGCTGACGCTGTTGCTGTTGCTGCTGCCCCTGCTTTCTCCGCCGCTTCCGGTTGTGCCGCTCCCCCTGCCCGCCCCTGCCCCTGTCGATCCATCTGCATCTGCAAGTGTTGCCGCCACAGCAATTGCTGCATGGGATGATGTGTCTCTATTTTTAAATTATGACTCCCTGCTATGGAATCCCCGGGGTTTGGAGGAGTCATATTTGAGCCTGCATAGCCACACTCCCTCTCACTCCTTACTGCATTCGCCGAACCTGCAACTGCGTGTTCCGAACCTCCTGTATTCCTCAAACCTGCTGCGTTCCCAGAGCCCCCAGCATTCCCAGAGCCCCCAGCATTTCCCGAGCCTCCGGCATTCCCCGAACCTGCTGCATTCACCAGATTAGTTGAGCTATCCAGCTTTCCATGTGTGACTGGTCCACCTGCCATGGCTGCTGGGTCCCACACCGAACTTAACCGAGCGGTTCGGACATCAGGCTCGGCATTAACGAACCTACTCACAGGCCACCTAGCCTCGACCATGCCTGTATAATTGAGTGGGAGCACTTGTTGTAAGAGGTCTGGGGATTGGTTTGCTACCGTGGTGATATAAGGTGTCAGGATAGTTGGAAAAGTGTGATTATAACGAGGGAAAGCAGGAATGGTGGAGGTGGTAAGGCTGCTCAGTGCAGTGCTGCTTTTGGAAGCAGAGGCAGGAGCTGACGTGGCAGGAGCTGATGTGGCAGGCGATGACATGGCATGCAGTGACAATGCAGGGGCAGGCGTGGCAGGTGCGGACGTGGCATGCGATCGAGAGTGCGAGAGGGCCGAGGGGGAGCGAGGCCCATGGAAGTGGAGAGGAGGGGGGAAGAGTGAGGGAGGTAGGAGTGAGGGAGGGAGGAGGGATGGGGAGGTGGGAGCAAGTGGGGCAGTGACTGCAGTGGCGGCAGGTGTGACAGAGGGTTGAGACAGTAGAGAGGGACACTGCTTCTGTCCCTGCTTGCCTTGCTGCATCCCCTGCTGCTCCTGCCTCCGCTGCTGCCCCTGCTGCCCCTGCTGCTGCCCTTGCTGCTGCTCTTGCTGCGCGTGCTGCTGCGCTGTGACGCTGAGATGGGTGGTTTGAAGGAGACGATGTGCTTCTTCTTGCCTCAGCCACGTTGACTGACCCAACTGCTGCTGCTGCTGCAGCTGTTGTTGCTGTTGCTGTTGCTGCTGTTGTTGTAGCTGCTTGTGCTGCTGCTGCTGTTGCTGTTGATGCTGCTGCAGTTGCTGCTGCTTCTGCTGCTGTTGCTGCAGTTGTTGATGTTCATTCTGCGGACGATCCAACAGTTGCACCGAACTATGTTGCACCGAACCACGCTGCACCGAGCCATGCTGCACCAAACCACGCTGCACCGAACCTACCGGCCCCACATCCCTCAGCTTCACTGCAGCAGCCAGGTTCGGCACATGCCTGTCATCCGAACCACACACCCGATCCTTCCAATCCAGAATGGCAGCAGCCACATGCTGTGCATTCGCATGCAGCAAAGTCTTAAACATATCGCCTATAGTCACACCTCCACCACTACCGCCCTCGCCATTCGTATTAGTCACCCCTCCACTGCCACCATCCTCCTCATTCCGTTCTGTCACTCCACCACCACTTCCCTCTCCATTCGATTTAGTCACACCAGTGACACCACCTCCCGTCCCATCCTCCTTACCCACACTAAACCCCATATTAGCGCACTCGATAGCACTATTACCCTTCCCTTCTCCTCCTCGCCCCTCCTCACATGCTCCAAGCTCGTTCCAGGTACTCAGCAGCGCACCTGTCACCCCGTCCCCACTTCCCCCCACCTCACCTCCCTCACCTCTACCTCCTCCCACTCCTCCTCTCCCATCCCCATCGCGCACGAGTCTCTTGACGACGCTTTCGCCAGGCTGACCCATATCTGTAGGCGCTTCTTTCCTCTTCCTATCCACCACCATCCCCACGCCGCTGCCTTCACACGCACCAGCTGTAGCAGCACCAGCTGTAGCGCCATCCGTAGCAGCAGCAGCAGCAGCAGCAGCAGCTTCTGTAGCATCTGTAGTATTTGTAGCGGTATTATACGCTGTAGCCTCACCGCCTGTAGCAGCTGCTGCTAGATCCAAATGGAATAGCTCCGCCAATTGGACGCTCAAGATCGACTGATTTAGCGGGCTAGTATCGATCAACAGCTCAGGTTGCTGCTCCAGAACCTTCTTCTCAATAAGGGATTTGTCCAGCAATGATTGGCCCGAGACCAAGACTGACGTGGCACCTCCAACAGAATACGCCCGGGGCAGGATTGGAGAAGCAGGCTCGGAAGCAACCGACCTGGGAAGAACTGGCTCGGAAGCAGCAGGTACAACAGGTCCGGCAGCAGGGCTGGGAGGAGCCGAAGCAGAGAGGTGGGAGGAAGGAACCAGGTCCGGTTTCTGATTCGGGGAGGTAGCAGACCAAACCTGCAGGTCCGGTTTCTCCTCCTCCTCTTCCTTCTCCTGTTGCTCCTCTTTCTTCTGTAGACTCTGCACTCTCTCTGAGAGGATAGCTGCGTCAGCAGCCGCAGCAGCAGAAGTAGTAGCAGCAGCAGCAGCAGCAGAGGCGTCAGCAGCAGCAAGGGACGCAGAGGAAGGGCTTCGTTTCGGTGCAGAGGAGGAAGCAGCAGCGTTGGAGACGCGTTTCGACCCTACAGAAGCCCTAGCGTCGTTGCCTGGGGTTGCAGATTCCGTGGCCGGAGCTGCAGCGGTGGAGTTGGTGTTGGCAGCGGTGGTGATGGTGTTGGCAGCGGTGGTGTTGGTGTTGGTGGTAGCGTCGGTGGCAGTCTGCAGGCGTTGCTGCTCCAGGAATCGCCTGCTCAGGTGGAGGAAACAGAGGGCAAGAGCACAAGGAGAAACGGCCAAATGAGGACAACTTTTGAGTCCAGGGTTCAGGGTTATGAAATTGCTTCGGTCTGGCGTTGCTTGATGCTCAAGAGAGGTGGTGAGGGAAACCCTGGACGAGAAACCTCTTGCTCGGTGAGTGATATGGCAGATGGGAGGGATCGGGGAGGGTGAGAGAGTGCAAGGTGATTGAGACGGAACGGGAGATGATATGGAGAGGGAGAGGGGAAGGAGACGGACAGCGAAGGAAAATCGAATCTGATCAGCACCATCAGATCTGATCAGCACCAGTAGATCTGATCTGATTGCATCAGCACCATGAGATCTGATCAGCAGAATGAAATCTGATCTGATCAGAATTCCTGATCAAAGACCGTGCCCAGAAACATGGCTGAAAACTGGCTGTCATTCCCAAACGGCGTATTGTATACTATACACCTCAAAAGGACCTTGGAACGGCGTATTGTATACTATACACCTCAAAAGGACCTTGAAACGGCTTGGAAAGCACCGTGCCTATCCAGCTTTTCACAAACAGTAGCGCCTCACTTCTTAAGGAGGATGAAGCGGTTGCAGCAGGCCTTGTTGTCCCGGAGAGGCAGCTCGCGGCTCCGCTGCAGCAGGCCCCAATTGCGCGTGCCGTGGCGCATCACGTGCTGTAGCAGTATGCGGTCCTCCTGAGGGAATGATGATGGGTGAGAATGGGTGACAATGGTTGATGGTGGTAGCTTAGTGAGTGATAGGGGGCGCGCAAAAGCAGCAGGCCCCAGTTGCGCGTGCCGTGGCGCATCACGTGCTGTAGCAGTATGCGGTCCTCCTGAGGGAATGATGATGGGTGAGAATGGGTGACAATGGTTGATGGTGGTAGCTTAGTGAGTGATAAGGGGCGCGCAAAAGCAGCAGGCCCCAGTTGCGCATGCCGTGGCGCATCACGTGCTGTAGCAGTATGCGGTCCTCCTGAGGGGATAATGGGTGGAGATGGGGGATGATGGATGGAGATGGGTGATGATGGGTGATAAGCGGTTGGAGTCAAGTGTGAAGTTGCTGCAGCAGCCCCCGGTTGCGCGTGCCGTGGCACATCACGTGCTGAAGCAATATGCGGTCCTCCTGAGGGGATGATGATGGGTGAGAATCGGTGACAATGGTTGATGATGGGTGCACATAGGCAGCAGTTGATTGCTACGAGTCAAGCTAGCAGAACCCAGCTGTGGATTCAGCAGCGTGTGCCATGGCGCATCACGTGCGGGAGGATTATCAGGTCCTCATGCTGGGATGATGGTTGATGGATGATGCATGGATGGTGCATGGATGGCGCATGGATGGCGCATGGATGGTGCATGGATGGTGCATGGATGGTGCATGGATGGTGCATGGATGGCGCGTGGATGGTGCATGGATGGCGCATGGATGGTGCATGGATGGTGCATGGATGGTGCATGGATGGTGCATGGATGGCGCATGGATGGTGCATGGATGGCGCATGGATAGTGTATGGATGGTGCATGGATGGTGCATGGATGGCGCATGGATGGTGCATGGATGGCGCATGGATGGTGCATGGATGGTGCATGGATGGTGCATGGATGGTGCATGGATGGTGCATGGATGGCCTATGGATGGTGCATGGGTAAGAGTTGGAGGATAGATGCAGCTGGGAATTCTGGAGTGTCAGACGGAGAGTGTGCGTACGTGGTTAACCCACATACACTTGGGGTTAATCATACACATGGGGCGATCACGTGATAATATCAGACCAATCAGGGATCATTACGATGCACATATTAGCGCCTAGAGCCGTCTCAAAGCTCAATAAAATCGATTCTGTGACAGGATTGGATGGGCGGCGCAGGAAGTAACGCACCTGATTGCTCCAGCGAATGAACTGCTCTGGTGGGATCGAGGAGCTGTTCCACGCACTGCCACGTGGCGACACCGCCGCCATTGACGGGCGGAAGCTTGAGGAAGCCACTGCTAGGGGAGGCGCTGCTCGGAGAGGGGCTGCTTGGGTAGGCGCTGCTAGGGGCGGCACTGCTTGGGGCGGCACTGCTTGGGCCGGAATTACTCGGGGCGGCACTACCGGGGGAGGCGCTGCTTGGAAAGCAGCTCCTTGGAACGCAGCTGCCCGGAAAGCTGCTGCACGGAAGGCGGCAGCTTCCTGGAAAGCAGCTGCCTGGAAAGCGGCAGCTTCGTGAAAAGAAGCTTCTTGGAAAGACGCGCTGCCTGTCAGGGTGTTGTGAGACGGCGGTGGTGGCCTGGCGCCGTTGCTGCCGCTGCCTCCATGGTACGGCGATCGGATTGGCTGATTCGGATCGGTGGCTTTCTGCCTCATCTTCGGGCTTCAAGAAATCTGTATGTTATCCACTCTCAATGGTACTTAGAGCTCTGGTACTTGGTGCTCCCACTGGCACTTAGAGCTGATCCACCCTCACTGCTACTTAGAGCTGTATGGGATCCACTCACAGTGATACTTAAAGCTGTATGGGATCCACTCACAGTGATACTTAAAGCTGTATGGGATCCACTCACACTGATACTTAAAGCTGTATGTTATCCACTCTGTCACTTATAGCTGTATGTTATTCACTCCAAATCTCCTCATCAGGTCTTCTCCTCACCAGGTTTCATCCCCACCAGGCCTTTTCTCCAAATCTCCTCTAACCAGCTTCTCTCAGCAGGCCTCCTCACAAGGTCTCCTCACCAGGTCTCCTCACAAGGACTCCTCACCAGGTCTCCTCACAAGAACTCCTCACCAGGTCTCCTCACAAGAACTCCTCGCCAGGTCTCTCTTACCGCTTCACCTTACCCGGGTCACCTATGGGGCTTCTGTAACTACAACTAGTAGGTGCTGAGGTTACGTGCCTGCCGCTGCCTAGGGGATGAGTTCGTAGCCGTCGATCTAAGGAAGGCTTCGGACGCATTGTCTGGTGTCAGAGAGAGAGAGAGAGGAGGAATCCAACGTTTTTTTTCTATTTTCGAAGAGGAGTTCAGTAAAATAATCGACAGGTATAAGTACTATTAGCGAGGAAGCCTCCTCCTGAATCAACTTGAATCAGTGCCAAGTTGTTCCAATGTCAGAAGGTTGGGTTGTTGAACGCGCTTGGACTACACAGCTTCTAATCAAACTCTGGCTTACAAACGCGTTGTTTGGACTAACACCTCGTCAGTCGTCTCGCGCTGATTTGAAAACACCTAGCGTGGACGAGTAATAGAGAATAATGGGAACTTGAGAGTGGCACCATATACATGAATACGACATCGCGGGACTACGGCCTCGAACTGGACGGCTCGATGCATTCAGGTCCCGTGCTGACATGATTAACTTTCAGGGGTTCGACGAATCGTTCGGTGCGTTCGGTTAGGTAGGAGAAGGCTATTTCGTGCCACGCGCCGCAAAAAAGGAGGAACAGGGACGAATCTGCTGCTAGTGCGGCTGGTTCTGCCAATAGTAGGTAGTAAGGCTGACAGTTGTGAGCGCATGAGAAAGAAATTTCGAGCGAAGTCCATAAAAAGCTCGAGTGGATGTGGAGAGTTGAGCCAACTACTAAGTGTTTCCGGCAGCACTTTGCTGATAGAATGCACATTGCAGACTTGCAAGTGCTAGCGTAGGAGTCTATGTGTCAACAGAAAGTCTCAGAAGTGAAAATTACGAATCTCTGTGGATCGAGTGTCAAGCGCCATTTGCACAACTGCTCCAAAAGCTGCAGCCAGTTTTGGATCAGATGAGTCAGGGGGAACGACCTTTTTCCTAAATGTGAACGAGGTGAACGCGAGCGTAAATGGTGACACCACCGTAGCGTCGACGCCATGGCTGGTTTCTTTCTGCCGGAATGTGATTGCACTGTGTACAGCAGAGAACATCGCAGTGCGGAGCTGAAGACGGAAATGGGGGTTCGCTTCACAGTCTCTCGCACGCCCCTTCCCGTCACAAAGAGCTTTCGTTCAAGCTGTACAGTACGCTCGGAATCAATTCATTCTTCCTGCCTTCCCTTCCATCCCCCCTTTCCGATAAAACCAAGCAAGGTCGCCCAAACCGAGACAGATCGCATGCCCGTGCCCGACAATCGCGTGACCGATAGCGCAAAATGGCCGATTCGGGACCCCTATCGTGTACAGAGTTTATTTCAGAGTGTATTTCTTTCTTGAAAAAATAAATAAATTACAGGGGTAGTTATTAAATGCTTCACGTTTTAGACTTTGACATCACACACAATAGTTGTTGTCAGAACCCTCTCCCTCTTGCAAATTTGCATAACCATTTGTTTAAGTGCCGCCGCACTCTCACGGAACCACCCTCAACTCTCGAAGCAAAGTGCTTAGATTCAAGCTATCTCGTTGCTCCGCGTGCGAAGCAGAGGGACAAAATACCTGACGTAGCAGGAGCACGCCATTCTCAGGCGGTCATATGAGAGGCTGGCGCGTGCCCCCTGCAATGATGAAATATTTTTCGTAACCCTCCATAGGCCCGCTGAAGATGGGCCGTGGAAAAGCGTCAGCAAGCTGATTCGGCATAAAATATCACCCGCCAAGGCCTCAAAAATCAGGGAGGATACATCGGGGGAGCTGCACACGGCATCGGCAACAGAAAGCAACAAGTCCAGTTCCCAGACAGAACGTTTTTATCGGGTATGTGTCCCAAAACAGTTCAAGCCATCCCGTACAATCAACTATGATACCCAATCACCGAGAGATGGAGGGGTGGCAATCCTACTTCCCCACAGTTTCTTGAGGGTGTGGAATATGCCGGCCACGCTCCCATTATTCCACATTCTTAGTCGTACTGTATACACTTAGCTGATGGAAAGCTTCACATAATCAGCCCTCTAAGGAACAGTCAAGGTTTACCCCCTCAGGACCTGCACTGACGTCCTTTCCATTGTAGGAGGGCCAATCACAGTCAGCACTTGAGTCATCGCAGCTGTAACACAGTTCCTTTAGCTGGCATTCAGCAGGTGCGATCAGCTACACTCTCCGAAACGACACTATCGCTGAACGTGGTCCACATTGTTTTACCAGGTTCATCCATGTCCACGCGCATGAACCTTGGCACCGCAATTTCCATAGCAGTTGCGAGAACGGACGATTGTGTACGTGTACAGTTCAATATCCGTCAAAGATGGATCGGGGCCTAGAATTGAGGTTGTTTTTGTGAGCAGCTACATGTGTGAACATTTCACGTGTGAAAATGATGCTCTAGTCATTCTATTTCGCTATTTCGCTAGGCAGCAACCCCCTCGGCAAATGCGGAGGCACATGCCCCCCCGGCCCCATGCCTCATCTTCGCTACGATAAAGAGTTGCTCCATAAAAGTCCACAAAGAACTGCAGAGGCAGGAAAGGCTTAGTGAAAGGAAACTGCCAGCGTTTATGCTAGCATCTCAGAACAGAACTCCCTCTTAACCTCACAATTGCTTTGTTTTCATGCATTCATCGCCATCACATGAGCTTAACTAGAGTTATCTCACAATACAAAACGTTAACGAGGGCCATTTTGTAAAACAACCACGAGATGTGGAACAAACAATTGGCATGAGCTGCTGTTACAAGATCGGCCCTTCGCATGTAACGACAAACCAGAGCCACCCACATCGCTACATACCATTGGTGCCATGGCGTTTAGTGCCACATTCAGAGCAGAACTTAGAGGAATCCCTAACATATGTGGCCCCACACTCGTCACAATACTTTGCAAGAGCGGCTGCTGCAGCAGCTGCTGCTGCCGCTGCTGCAGCTGAAGACTGCTGCACACAGCCATAGGGTGTCTCCCCACACTCCGCCTGAGGGGGGACAAAAGTGGGTGAAAGAGGAGCACACAGCTTATATGCATAGAAAGCATAGCTGTTAAGCTGCTGCAGCTGAAACAGCAGCATGGATATTCAGCCATAGGTTGAATCTCCACAACCATTCACGAATCCTTTACCATTTGGAGACATACTCCATACAGACACAACCATTAGTGGTCAGAATCCCAACCTCAATGCACTTACCGGGGTGAGAACCATGGCCAGGTGATGCGACCCAGAAGGCAACAACCCCCTCGGCAAATGCAGAGGCACATGCCCCCCCCGGCCCCGTGCCCTGCTGCCCCTCCCCCTCCTGTAGATGCCCCAACGGACCACCAGACCCATGGGGGGAGATGCCCCAGAGGCATTCCCCACCTCCAGGTCCCATCTAAGTTGACTAAAAAAAACTCCATTCACTTACCGGGGTGAGAACCATGGCCAGGTGGTGCGACCCAGAAGGCAGCAACCCCCTCGGCAAATGCGGAGGCACATGCCCCCCCGGCCCCATGCCTTGCTGCCCCTCCCCCCCCTGCAGGTGCCCCAATGGACCCCCAGGCCCCTGGGGGAGATGGCCCAGAGGCATTCCCCCTCCCGGCCCCATCTGCTGGTGCCCAGGCATCCCCCCCTGCTGGGGGTGCCCGTGGGGAGGGCCTGGGGGGAGAGGGATGGGCGCTCCGGTTGGATGGTGGATTTGGAGGTGGATTCCTGCTGCTCCGGCTTGGTGGTGCGGTGGGACGGATTGGAGTGCAGGGTTGCCGGTTAGGTGTGGGGAGGGCTGCTGCTGGTTGGGCGGCCGTTGCTGCTGTTGTTGCTGCTGCTGCTGTTGTTGCTGTTGCTGTTGTTGTTGTTGCTGGTGGTGTTGGTGCTGTTGGTGGTGCTGGTGCTGGTGTTGCTGCTGGTGCTGCTGCTGCATCTGTTGCTGCATTGACGGGTCCGATGGATGGTGCTGGGACGAATCCGCCATGACCATAGCCTGCACCATGGGAGGGGGAGTGGGGGGGGGGAGGAGGGGGAAGGAGGATTGGAATAATCTATCACGGTTGACTCCCATCCCAAGGAGTCCGCCATCCCCATCCCAGGAGATGCATGCATTTGCATGGCGTGGCATGGCGTGGCGTGGCCTGGCGTGGCATGGCGTGGCATGGCGTGGCGTGATGTGGCATGGCACAATGCCACCCACAATCATGCCCACAGCAGCAGTGAGCTCAGAGGCACGTCAAAATCACCTCGCCCCTCTACCCTCCTCGCCCAATTCCATCTAAACCCCTCTGAATCATCTCCTCCCTTTCCCCCCATGCTCCCACCATCCTTACTTACCATATGGTGCATGGGAGCAGCGAGTTCAGCTGGGTTCGCCACAGAAACAGCAGACACGGACGCCTGAGGCACCCTCTCGGTCCCTTCCCCCACCGCTCCGCCCCCCTTCCCCTCTTTAGTTCCCGCCCTTACCATGTGGTGCATGGGAGCAGCGAGTTCAGCCGGGTTCGCCACAGAAACAGCAGACACGGACGGCTGAGGCACCCTCCGGGGTTTGGGCCGCGGCGTGAAGTACTTGAAGTCCCGCGGGTATATTGCCACCTCATGCCGCCCGGTTATCCTCTTGAACCTGCGAGAGGGGAGAGGGGACGTGAAAGGTTCTTTTATGTGCGTCAAAAACACTCCGGGGTTTGGGTCGTGTCGTAAAGTACTTCCAAGACCCGCGGGTATATCGCCACCTCATGGCACCTGGTTATCCACTAGAACCTGGGAGAGGTGAGGCGGAGAGGAAAGGGACGGTTCTTTGAGTGCTTTGAATAAACCCGTTACCCGCTGAAGTTTCAGCTGTGGCGTGGCGTATTTGCAGTCCGATGGGTATATTGATACCTCGTGCCGCCACCTAATGATCTTGAACATGGAAGAGGAGAGGTGAATAAAATGGATTTCTTGAGCATTCCACTCAGCAACATGAGCAATAGAAACGAGCAACTATGGGTAGTGAAGTGAGACAATGTACAGGTGTATGGTGACAAGCCTACCACTCAGTGCATCTCACCAGCTCCAGCCCATGCACCACTAATGTGGCCCAGTGGAAGAAAGAGAGTGGTACGATCAGCTACGATCAACATACCACTCAGCATCGTCAGGGGACATGGTGGAGGGTCGTTCCACGAGCTCCAGCCCATGCACCACAATGAACCGCACACGCTTGTGGCCCCTTGGAACATATAGTGAAGCCAGCTCTCTTTGTAAGAGTGACGAGCTTACCACTCAGCGTCGTCAGGTGACATGGTGGAGGGTCGTTCCACGAGCTCCAGCCCATGTACCACACGATGAGCCCTATTTTGTAGCCCGTAACAAGCTCAAAAGATAAAAACTGCAAGCTCTTCGCAGTTGGGGAACATAACGAGGGCATACCACTCAGCATCGTCAGGTGACATGGTGGAGGGTCGTTCCACGAGCTCCAGCCCGTGCACCACAATGAACCGCACGCGCTTGTCGTCCCGCCCCAGCACCAGCTGGGGGAAGCGCGCCCTAGCCTCCAGTGCAGACGCCATCTCCCTTCGCCTGAATATGGTCACGGCTCCTGGAAGAAGGAGAAACCAGAGGAGCAGAAAGCAGGGGGGCGCTGGAAGAATGAGTAGCTGTAGCACTCGCTTGTCACCCCCCTCCACCAGGTTGACTTTTGAGTCGACTCAAAAGTCAGCAGGGGGGCGCTGGAAGAAAGAGTAGCTGTAGCACGCGCTTGTCACCCCCCTCCACCAGCTCCAGCCCATGCACACCATGACATGGAAATTGTACGATAAACCGCGTCGTTCCACCCCAGCACCAGCTGGGGGAAGCGCCCACTGGCTTCTAGTGCTGATGTCATCTCCCTGACTCCTGTGAGAGTGGAGCGGGAAGCAGGGGGGAGTGGGGTGGGCAGGGAAGGGGGGAAGCATTGAATCATCCGAGTGAGCGGCATTGAATCTATTGAGAATGTCATCTCCAGTACCAAGGGAGAGGTGGACGGGAGGAGGGACGCAGACAGGCAGGCGGGCAGGCAGGCAGGCGGGCAGGCAGGCAGGCGGGCAGGCAGACAGGCAGGGTGGGCGACAGGGAGGGAGCACCCCTGGTACCCACCGGACTTGGGGAATTTCTCGACCATGCGGCGATACAATCCTCCAGCAGCCTCAAGCGCGAGCCCCATGGTCTTGCCGCGCAGCACGTCCATCTCCGCCATGCGCCCGTTCACCTCGCCCACCAGCGTCTCATACGCGTTCGCCAGGAAGATGAGCGGCAGCAGATGCCGCGGGTCCCCCTCGTATGACGGCCGGATCACCTGCTGCTCCACTGGCGGCTGCCCGTCCTCCATCTGCACAACATAGCAAGAACCCAAAAAAGAAAAGGAAATTAAAAAAAGAGACACACACACACACAGAGGGGAGGGAGGGAGGGGGAGAAGGGTGGGGGGGGGGAGGGGGGTGGGTAGGGGCATGAGAAAAGGGTGTGCTTGGGATGGATAGAAACCAAATGAGAAGCAGAGGAAGAAAAAAAAACCAAAACCAAAACTAAAACTACTGCTACTACTACTACTTCTAGCAGAAGCATCTCACGCCCTCTGCTCACCTCTCTCGCTCTGCGCTTCCTCCTCTCCCCTGGGGAGTGCGATGCTGCGAGCTGTGATTCCTCAGAGATGGGGACGATGTGGTACGTCACAAAGTGGTCGATGATCAGGTGCAGGAAGCGCACGCGCGCAGCCTCGATCGGCAGCAGATCTGACACACAAAGGCATGGACGCACGGGCGAAACACGGGCAGGCGAATTGAGGGTAACATCAAGAACTGAAACCAAGACCTGAAGCGCTTCTGAATTGCTTCTGAATTGGAAAAAAACTGGCAAAAACTGAGGTGCCATAAAAGGTATTTCGGGGTGTACCGTGGATGTTGAGGGGGCTGTAGGGCTGTTGGGATTCAGGAGGTTCCGATTCCTCTGAGACGACTTGCATTGCGAGGCCCCCGTCGTAGGCTTGATGATGGACGCCGTCTGCCATGGCTTGAGGATCCATTGCCTGCATGGCCAGACACACAGCCACGAGCAGATATAAAACAACAAAAAGTACGGAAAATGAGGTAAAATGTTAGAGAGTAGCAACTTTCAAATAGGGGGTAATTTTTGGAAAATGACAATCTGCTTGCCTGTGTGAGTTCGGAAGCAGGGCCCGGCTGCATGGTGCTCCCGCTCTGCACGCTCGCTTGCATGGCGCTCTGAAGGCCAGACTGCATGCTGTTCGGAACAGACGACTGGGAATGGAGCGGACCCTGATGCTCCTCCTGACCCGGCTGCTGCTGCTGTTGCTGTTGTTGCTGCTGCTGCTGCTGCTGGAGGAGGTGATGTTGTTGTTGTGACTGCTGCTGTTGTTGCTGCTGCTGTTCTCTTGTGTGGTGATGCTGTTCCATTTGGTCATCCTGCGGACCTTGATGGTGCTGATGTTCTTGTTGCTGCTGTTGCTGTTGCTGCTCTTGCTTAATTTGCTCGGAAGGAAGCGGAGGAGGAACGGAATATTGATCGGGATGCTGGGAATCTTGAAGCGAAGCTTTCAGTTCTTCCGGCTGTCCGTCCAGGACAACTTGAGACTGCTGTTGCTGCTGTTGCTGTTGGTCGAGAATGCTTCCATGAACAGGTTGTTGCATGCTTCCGTCATTCACACACGAGAGGTCGTGAGGAGACATTCCGTTACCGTTAACAATGTTCCTAGGCTCGCCTTGCGTGCCGTACGCGACGGAAGTCATTCTTCAGGTGAATTTAGTAACTCGATTGAATATCTTGCAACTACGTGGAAACCAGTCGTCAACGCGGTTCCAGAATTAGCTCCTATTCGAATGTGAGGAATCGAATTATCTAAATCCGCGATTCGAGATGTATGTATTGGCTGGGGAGGTTAGCTCGTGCCAGCCATTGCTCGGGATGAAGCCAGACCAACACAGGAGCGGCGGTAAAAACAAACGAGCCAAGAAACAGGAGAGGAAGGGAGCAGTAACAAGAATGGAGAACGAGGATCGCGGCAAACCGGAGGCAAGGGAAGAAAGAAAGGCAAGCTTGGAGAAAGCAACGCGAGTTTGGAAACAGATCTATGGCTGCCGGTGCTGCAGACGCATGGTTTGGGTCTGGTGAAGAAGCAAGAGAGGCAGGCCTGGGGGGAGACGGAAGAGGCCTGGGGGGGAAACAGAGAGGCCTGGGGGAAAGTGCCGGGGAGGTATGGGGGGAATGAAGCAGGTATGGGGAAGGTATGGGGGAAAAACCTGGGCGGTTTTGGGAAGCTGGCGGATATTGGCGCTCGATCGCTGTTGCGGCCTGGGGGAAGCGGAGACGAAGCCTGAGGGAGAGGCGGAATTATTGATGGGCCTTGCGCGCAGCATTGAGGTGGCGAGCGCGATAAAAAAATTGGTGGGGTGGTGGAGGGACGCGGAAACTCGCTTCTGGACAAGGCTAGGGTATGGTGTGGGCTCGGCCAGAGCGAGGGTTTCGATACCTTGCTGCGAGGGTTTGGTGTGGCCAAGGCGAGATGTTGGTGTGGCGCGGGCCTTTCCGGAGCTGACACGTCGGACCATGCGACTGGCTGGGAACCTCGATTAGGGCGCCGGCACTCATGCTCTGGGCTAGACGCAAGGGTTTGTTTTGTGATCTGACGAAGGTCATTGTTCGTTCGATGAACGCAGCATGCGGTACACCGTCAGATATAACATCCAGCATCTTCACAACAACATTTCTGGTGATACCGTTATCGCTAAAAAAACAGCCAACTTCTAACGATATTTCAACATGAAGCTAGAAATCTAAAATATGTACATCAGAACCAAGCCACTGTGATATAACAAAAACATATGATCTAAAAATGTTGAAGCTTGAGTGTTACCAGGGGATTTCGCTTAATAGATACTTGTCGTTCACTCCCAGATGAACTAATTTCACCGTCTAGTGTGGACGATGACGAGGACGTAGATGAAAATGGCGATCCCACAGTTGTTGAAGCGCTCATGGGACTAAAAGACACTGAAGGGGAGTGGAAAGACATGGCTTGAATGCCGACCTCATCGTGCAAACCCGGTTCTGTGGCAGATCTCGGCATGAGAGAAAGCATTTGCTGAGCAACGGTGGGTTGTGCCATGGCAGCAGCGCTCACATTGTCCGATCTGGCACGCGGATATGCTTCCATGCCACCAGCCACATGGTTAGACCTTGAGTGCTGCTCATGCTGGATCTGGTGGGATGATTTCAACCTTGACACTGGCTCACTCCTCAAGTTTGACGCATCACGAGAAGTGGAGCCATGGGAAAGAGGCGATGGGCACCCTACAGCTCGCCCTAGCAGCCTCGGAGATGAATAGCCTGGAGAACCGGTACTGCTGCCACCGCCCCTGCCACTCCCACTGCCGCAGCCACTGCCACTGCCACTCCCACTGCCAGTACCTCTGCCACTTCCACTTCCACTGCCGCTGCGAGTGCCAGTGCCACTGATATTACCGCCATCTACTGCATCAGCTGGTGCACCCAGCCTTGTTCCTTGGGCGACATCCACTGCTGCTGCACCTCCTGCTACAGCCGACGTTCCTGCTACAGCTGACGTTCCTACTACAGCCGACGTTCCTGCTACAGCCGACGTTCCTGCTACAGCCGACGTTCCTGCTACAGCCGACATTCCTGCTACAGCCGCTGCGCCAGCGCGCAATGCTGGCGCCAACCCTGACTTGGTACTCCTCCGTTGGGAAACTGCTCTGGTCTGAGCTCTCGTTGCACCCACCAGGACCGGCCCTGATGCTGTTCTTGGCCCCAGTGTGACCGTAACGGGGGGAGTAGCCGAGCTGGGCGGCAGAGAGGAGCACGAGCGGAGGGGGGAGTATGGGCGCCTCCCAGAGGGAGGACGGCGGGGGGAGGAGGATGCGGGGGAAATGGGAGAAGGGCGGGGGGAGGAGGTTGTAGAGAAGAGGGGGGAAGGGGAGTGGCGCGCAGAAGCAGGAGTTGGGGAGGAGGGGGCGGAGGAGGAAAGGCTACTAGGGCCGTTGGATCGCATCCTGCTCCCCTGATTCGACGGTTCGGATTGGAGAGGGGAGGGGGACAGGGGGAAGGAGCGGTGGAGAAGCAGGCGGTGCTGTCGGTGCGCGCTGAGGGGGACGGTGAAGGGCGGAGACGGCGCGGGGGACGTATCGGGGGAAAAGATAGAGTGTGACTGTGTGGAGAGGGCGTCGGGATGTGACTGTGACGAAGGGAGGTCGACTCGAAGGTTGGGGCGCGGACGAGTATGGGCGAGCCTGCTGCTCATGTCGACGTGGCTCGCTGGCTGGAATGTAGCGGCTGACGTGGCAGCGGGAGGAGCGGCAGCGTGCGCAGCAGTAGGAGCGGCAGCAGCGGCGGGAGCAGCGGCGGAAGGCGCGACGCTTCGGAAGCGGGAGAGTCGGAGGCGGGACGTCGAAGCAGTCGGCGACGGCGGAAAGGACGGCGGGTGGGGAGTCAACGAATAGCTAGGCTCAACGTGCGACTCAACTTGAGCGACGACTAGCTCCGTACGCGAAACGGCGAGCAATGGTGAAGCGGTAATCACGCCAGCATCGTTGCTACCATGATTAGCGGAAGCCCGCGTAGCAGTGGAGAAACGAACAGCCGGAGCAGTCGCGGAGGATTCGTCAGAAGGAACAACTGGGTGGTCGTGGGGCGTCGGGAGCGACTTGGAAGACGGAAACTGCTGTCGGGCCAGGAGGGCAGCCGGCGGCGGCGCGGCGGAGAGGCTGGTCGCCCCGGGGCTCGAAACGGAGCGCGGAAACGCCAGTTGCGGTTGCGGCTTCCGCGGAGACGCGGCGGTCTCCACGACGAGGCTCCCCATGTGCGCGTGGGGCTCCGGCGGTGCTGCGTCCGACCTGGGTCCCTCCCCTGAGATGACCGCAGGGTCCGGCGTGGAATGCGCCGGAGGAGGCGCCGGCGCCGGTGCAGCGCTTCCAGTCTCACCATCCCGAATTTCACGAATCTTAGAGCTGGTCGCGCCGTGCAGACTTGAATTCTGTAACCTCGACGCTTTATCACCAACCGGCGATTTCCCGCAAACCGCCACGACTGAGGGAGCCTTCCCGGGAGTCTCGGCCCTGGTCCGAGCTTCTCCCGCCGCCGCGGAACATCTGCCTCGCGGTACATCAGCCCCTGCGGTTACGGAACGGGATGTCCCTGCACCTGCGCCGGTTGCGGATCGGGATGTCCCTGCCGCTGCGGAACGGGATTCCCCGGCCGCTGTGCGAACTTTCCTTCCTGCGAGCTTCTCGCCGCGGCCTGCGCTCCGTGCGTTAGTTCCGCAATCTCCCCGCGCCTCCCCGACGAGCCGCGTCTCCCGCATCTCCCGCACTTCCCCGCACGTCCCCTGCGACTCCCGCGTATCGATGGAAGCCTCCCGCGCACCTCGCGTCTCACGCGTATCTCCTGCCGTCACCCGCTTTTCCCCTGCTCCCCGCGCTGCCCGCTCCGCCGTCCGCCTATCGCAGCAGTCACGCTGCGCGCGTCCTTCAGTGAGAAAACTTTCCCTGACGACGAGATGTTCCGCCAATTCCGCCTTTCCTGCCGATTCCAGCAATTCCGCTAATTCCCTCGGTCCCGATGTCTCCCGTGCCGATTCAGAGCTGCGCGCTGCGCGGCCCGCAGCTCGCTTCCGCGCAGCACGCGGAATCTCCGCGCGTTCCTCCTGCAGACCCGTATCGACGCTCGACGATTCGACTACCACGTGGCGGCGCTCCATCGCCGCTCTCGTGGCCCTATTAGTACTACCGCTACTACTGCCACTATTATAGAGTCTGCGCGCTTTTCTATGATCGTCCTGGCGAAGTGGGACCGCCGCCGCTATCATCTGTCCCAACGATGTGAAATGAGAGTGTTTCTGAGACGTCTACAAAACGCCGCCGCTATCACCTGTCTGTCCAAACGAGTTGCAAGATATCGGAAAGCATGCAGTCTGTGCTACGCGTTCTTGCTCTACCAGATCTGTCGTAGCTGTGTGCTCTCTCGGGGTGAAGCAGAACTGTCAATCGAAGGATCTTCTTG